ACCTAACCTAACCTAACCACGTACGACGTACGTACTTACGTTAGTTAGTAGTCGTCGTTCGTTCCTTCCTTCGTTTCGTTACGTACGTCGACGACGAGAGAGAGAGAGAGAGAGAGAGAGAGAGAGAGAGAGAGAGAGAGAGAGTGTATTTTATGTTTTCTTCGTTTTAGGTGTTTGGGTTTCCTGTGTTTCCCCTGTTTCCCATTTATATATATCATTGGGTTTGATTTCATAGGCTAATTAAACATTTTCCTTAACTTTTCATTCGATTTATTTCTTTGGGTTCCTCTCTCTCTCTCCACTTATGGTTCCTAACTCTATTCTCCAAACTCCAGGATCAGGGAATGAAATCAGAGTCACGACCATGGAGCTACAGCCAACCAAACAAGGAATCAGAGAGAACCCCATTAAAGCCTGAAACTCTGGCTCCAATTCAACAAAATCACTCTCAAATCCCAACTCTTGAACCCTCTGAATTCCACTCCGACTCGAGCCAAGCTTTACAACAAGTTATAAGAGACCACAGAAGGTCAGATGATGGTTACAATTGGAGAAAATATGGCCAAAAACAAGTTAAAGGAAGTGAGAACCCAAGAAGCTACTACAAATGCACCTATCCAAATTGCCCAACAAAGAAGAAGGTTGAAAGGTCCTTAGATGGCCAAATTACTGAGATTGTTTACAAAGGAAGCCATAACCATCCAAAGCCTCAATCTACAAGACGAAATGGATCGTTATCTCAAACCACTGGTCCGACTATTGGGGGTGCGCCATCTATGAATATAGAAGGTGGGTTAGTGAGAGAGAGCAATGTGGCGATGATAAAAGGTGAGATGTTAGAGCGAGAGAAATCCTCATCCAATTCTGTTCTTACTGAACTCTCAGATCCTTCTTTTGCGGGGCGTGGAACACCAGTGGAGTCGGGCACGCCGGAGAACTCTTCAATTTCGGGTGGCGATGATGAGTTTGAAGGTGGGTCTCGATTGAACCAATCAATTGGTGATGAGATGGATGATGAGGAGCCCGACGCCAAACGATGGTGAACGTCCTGATCTCAGCTCATAAATCGCTGAAACTAACAGATTTCGATTCTTTTTATTTTTAATCAAGAGTTTATTTATGCTGATTTGAGTTTTGTCATAATTTGAATCAGTTAAAGAGAGCATTGGTTCTGATTTTGATGAGTTAGAAAGGCAATTGATTTCCTTTCAATGTTCAAACAAAGAGAATGAGAGTGAATTGAGTTGTTCTTGGCCTCTTTAGTTAGTTTTGTTTTGTCTGTTTTGACTTTCTTAATGAATTGCTTGACTTAGAAAAATGCTTTTCCTTTCAGGAGGAGAGAGAATGAGTATGAGGGTGTTTCGGCGCCCGGTAGTCGGACTGTGAGGGAGCCTCGGGTTGTCGTTCAAACAACAAGCGACATCGATATTCTTGACGATGGCTACAGGTGGAGAAAGTATGGACAGAAGGTAGTGAAGGGGAATCCAAATCCAAGGTTAGTTCCCTGTACTTCTTATCTTCTATTGAAATTCTGATCTTGCTAGTAGGTTTGAAAGTACCTTACTTTTCATTCCATCACAAATCATATTTGAAAAAGATAAAGTGAAAGGTCAAGGGATTCGCTTGATGGTCTAGCATTTGAATACCTTTGTTGTATTGCTTGATATTTGGTTTCTCTGTCTGTCATGCTACTTTGGGATTTGATCTCTATAATCTGGGTTATGCTCTAAATAACAAACTTTTGAGCCTCTATTGGATTTTCCTACATGAAACTACATTTCCTTTTCTACATTTAGTTGATCTGGTTCCTCTGTTCTCATTCTAGTTGTTATTCGATTTCTGCAATGTGGGTAATGCTGGGAACTTTCAAAGCAGGATCTATTGAACTCCTATACCCATTAGTCTTTCTCGGCCAAACAGCCCTCCCTTCATCTCTCTCTCCCCAATCCCAAGGTCTACCGTGTGGGTCATGCTCTAAGCTTCCGAATTGTGAAAATGCATGAAATTACGAACCCCCCAATACTTTCTCTCCCCTACACCGCCCTCTCCCCTCCGCATACATTTTTTCATGATTTCTTTCTCTATCTCATATTAATTTAAGCTTATGATAAACAGGAGCTACTACAAGTGCACCAATGTGGGTTGCCCTGTAAGGAAACATGTAGAGAGAGCTTCCCATGACACGAGAGCTGTGATCACAACTTATGAAGGGAAACATAATCACGATGTTCCGGCTGCTCGAGGAAGCAACAGTGTAGTCAATAGGCCTTCAACAGGGAACGTTATTCAACCCACCATTAGGCCTTCAGCAACTTTTAGACCCAACAACTCAATGCCATCAAATAATATGTATGGCCAAGCTCCATTCACTCTAGAGATGTTACAAAACCAAGAAAATCGAGGTTTTCCTTCGGGATACGGAAGTTTGGCACCATCTTCGTTCATGGGGAGGATTCAAGAGTTAGAGAGGGGATTTCAGAAGGCTAAGGAGGAGCCCAAAGAGGAATTGTACTTGGATGATGGCATGTTGCGCTGAGATTGGTTTCTAATGACTGGGGGTTTTATTATCCTATGTAAATTGATGTGCTTTAGGTGTATATTTTCAGGTGACATGGCGGGGTAATTCAATTTTTTCATTGCTTTTTTGCATTATGTTTTTGAGGCCTCTGCAGCTTGAAGAGAGGCCTGTAGTTTTAGGGCACAGGAAAGAAAGTCATACATTCCAGTTAATCATAATATAATTCATGCGTTTTCTTCTCATGAGGTTCTGTAAAATGATAAATATTTATCTCAAAATGGGGGAAATGAATGAGTACTACGCCGAAGTGGCCTCTCTCTCTCTCTGAACATGTTTTATATGCAAGTTTCCAGTCAAAAGTTGATTAAAGGTTCTGTAAACCTGGTAATCAGAATGAACCCACCAGTTGGGTCCACCGGTTCGCACAATTCGGGCCCGCTGAACTTGTAGACTTAGGTTTGGCTAAAAGTTTAGCACCTTGAAATAGAGCCTCACTTTCAGCCTCATTTGCTGCACTAATACCATATAATCTTGCAAAACCAATATGTAAATGCCCTATGCGATCTTCAATTACTGGGAACTGCCATAAAATGTTCAATTTTAGCCTACCATTGGGGGAGGCTTCCATCTCTCTATCCGTACTACTCTTGAACGATTTATTGTGCTTCCATCTCTCGATCCTTTACTCTTGAATGATTTGTAGTTTGATAATGCCCCCAAGTTCTTTATTAAGCCATATGAGATAGGACTTTCTTTTTCTAGATCAGGTTCTTCAAATTTTTTCTCTCCAAATGTACCACACTTGAAATCTGAAATAACAAGGACTTTCCAACATATAACTCTTTCCATCTCCACCCACTTGAAATAAGTGAAATGTGCACGTGTAGGGATGGCAATAGGCTGCGCGAGATTCGGCTCTAAAAAAAGCAGAGCCTCGACCACAAATTGTGTCCCGAGGGCCGGGCTAAGGCCAGTGCTGGCTTAATACAGCTTACCTTGACTCTCTTTTTGTTTTTTTTTTATTATCTTTTATTATTATTATTATTTTTTTTTGCCCCGGAGCAGCCCTATCAGGATCAAGGGCCTAGGCTAGACTTTTAAAGACGAGGGCTGAGCCAAACATTAGCCTGACCCATTACTTCCCGATTACTACTATTATTATTATTATTAATATTATTTTGGCCCAGACCATATTATTATTATTAATATTATTTTGGCCCAGACCAGCCCTATCAAGGCCAAGGGCCTGGGCTAAACTTTTAGGGACGTGGGCTGAGCCAAACACTAACCTGACCCGTTACTTCCCGATAGGGCTAGCCCAGGCCATGGCCCGGCCGATGGCACCCGAAGACATGTGCCGTGTTAGCTCTCTCTCGGTCGCGGTCGCCATCTCCAGCTCACATTCATATTTTTATTCTCCCTCTGGTGTGATAATGGACTTGGTCCTCTCTTTACCTTCAAGTTCCTTCCCCTCTCCTACCTTTGCAATCCCATCCAACTTCACAGCTTGAAAGTTTGACGGGGTTTTGGTCAACGAATAGCAGCCCTTGCGTCACGAAGTAATACGTCATCTCAATTCCTCAAAACCTTGCCCCTCCTTCACATTATTCACTACCACAATCATCCCCGCAAAAGACAGGGACCCTTTTCTTTTTGCTAATTTTGCCAAGCTTGAAATGCTAAATTCTGTACGGACGGATTTTGTGCGGTCAGCCTAGGTAGAAATGCGAACTTGGCAATAAATATATTTTTAAATATAATTTGATCTTAATTTTTAGAGAATATAAAATTAGTCGGGGTTTGGTTTTTTTGGTGAGAGAAAACCCTCTCTCAAACAACTGTGAGGGGTGCGCACACAATATGTATTTAGATGCACGTGTGTGCTCCTCTTTATATGGATAAGAACCAACAACAAGAGAGATTTTCGACGAAGACGTACCTTAGGCATTTACCTCGTCGTTTGCGGATTCATGAATACTCCCAGGCATGTGCCTTCTTAGAACACTCACGAAATGCTTCGACTGTCTGTCAGTGTGGTTTGGACAAGAACTTTCCTCAAATTCTAATGCATCGTCTCGTCTCTTTGTTTTACTCCTGGATTTGCAAAGGACACTCGAAAACACCCCTCTATATTGGTTCACTCAAACAAGGATTGACTGGCAAAGAAATGATAAAAGGGGAAAGATGACAAAGGTCCCCTATTTGTACGAACGCTATGGAAGTCGATGATCAGAGTGGCTTATAGAGTCCAAACTCTCTCGACTACCTACTCAGTATGACTCCACCCGAGTGAGCGAGGACGAGAGCATGTGTGTCTCGCGACTCAACTCCACTGTACGGAGAAGAAGTTAGAGTGGTGATATGAGCGTTAAGACTCTTAAGGTTTCTCTGTGAGAAGTCAAATTGAGTGTGTGGTAAATATTAGGATGTAAGGAGAAATGAGCTGAGAGAGAGACGGGGTTGCAGGTACCGCGGCTCCGAGCTTGTCACGTGAAAAAAGAGAGAAAAGTAAAGAAAAAAGATGAGACTGCACGGTTGATGCGGTTCCGAGTTGCTGCTTAAGGCAAGAGAGAGAGAGAGACGCGAGGAGAGAAATGGGGTCGCAGGTGTTACGGCTCTGAGACTTGCCACGTGAAGAGAGAGAGAGAGTCCTAGAGAGAAAGAACAAGACCTCAGGATTGTTGCAGTTCCAAGTTACTGTGCATGGTAGGAGAGATCTTGTTGCAGTTCCAAGTTACTGTGCATGGTAGGAGAGAGAGAGAGAGAGAGAGAGAGAGAGAGAGAGAGAGAGAGAGAGAGTGACGACGACGACGACGAACGGGACGGGTACGGGGTCGGACGGACGGGTCGTCGGCCGGTACCGTACCGTAACGTTACGTAGTACGAACGGAACGGAACGAACGAAGGAAACGGAAAGGACGTACGAGTAGG